GGGGTTATTCCGAAAGTCGAAGTGACTTTTGTCACTAGTGAAGTGAGAAAGGCACGTCGTGGTGAAGTGACTCTCCATTTGATTTGCACAGATAGTCACGTAACCACGACGTGACTTTTCTCACTTCACTAGTGTCAAAAGTCACTTCGACTCTCGGAATAGCCCCCAGTACCCGGATAGTATCCGCACAATATCGGATGCCGATGGCATCCAGATTATGTATATTAATAAATTGTTATTCTATATTAAACGAAAATTATATTACCGAGGCCATTCTGGAGTCTAAGATGGTGGCCAGGTTCAGGAATAGTCTCAAATACCCTACAATATGGGTATTTTCGGGGACGGGGACAACGCGTAGATGACGAAAATCTATATTCGGCACCATTTTGGAGTCCAATATACGACCATCGGGTTTAATAAAAGTGTGAAATACCCTACATTATGGGTATTTTCGAAACGGGGACGACGCGTAGATGACGCCATTTAGGAATCCATCGGTTTTCAGAAAATTGTCAAATTCCCTAACATATAGGTATTTTCGGAACGGGGACGACTCGTAGACGCCAAAAATCAATATTCGACCACTTTATTTGCTTATCCTTGACAGATACGCGGATTTCATCTACAATGTGTAGACTTCTTCAGTGTCTTGTACTAATAATCGAGTATTAGCAGAAGACACTGAAGAAGTCTGCACATTGTAGACGAAATATGCGTATCTGCCAAGGATAAGCAAATAAGGTAGTGGAATTAAAAGAAAATTACTAATCCTTCTCTCTCTCTCTCTCTCTCTTTATACAGGTATTCATTCATTCATCAGGATTCAATATTTGACGTCATTTTGGAATCCAAAATGGCAACCCTCCATTTTTAGAAACCCGGTTCTTAAAAAAATAACGTATTGATGGGTAGAATTCCCCACTTTTTCTTGAACCGGAAGCCACCATCTTGGATTTTAAAATGGCGTCACATATCTATATCTAAACTCTAGACATCCAAAAATACTCATGTTGATGGGTATTTGGCAGTATTCCCCATGGTTTTAGAAAATAGAAAGCCGCCATCTTGGATTTCAAAATGGTGACGGATATCACTCTCTGGTCTATAGACGTCACCCCAATTATAAAAACACCTATTTGAGATGGGTATTTGACAGTATTTTAGTATTTGTTTATGATTTGGTTTTGTGGGAGAATTTTAAATTTTGTATGATAAAAGGAAACGGAATTAAACTATTCATTTGCATACGTAAAAAAATCAATAATAGCTCAATTTAGATCAATAATAATAATAAATTACATTTATGATTGTATGCAATTTAGCAGAAATAGCGTTCTCCTAGTCAACTTTCAGGAACTGACCATTTTCTCGGTGATTCCGGATATCCAGAGGACCTTTTTTTGGCCACCCGGTAGCAGAATCGATATGGTGATGGCATATTTCCTCTATACTCATGATTGTATGCAAATTGAAAAAAAAATTGGGATATCTAGGTCTACATTCAGGAATTGACCATTTTGCCGGTAAATCTAAATTTCCACAGAGCCACCTCTGACGAGTTTTCCCGTTCCGGTTCAATTGGTTCCCTGTCTGTTCCGATTGAAAGTAGATAGTCTTACCTTTCAATTAGTGGCACGATCTTAAAATTTGGTAACTCAATTGCTGAGAACCAGTCATGTCAACATGAATCAACATACCTTTTGCTCGAAATTTTTTCGGGTTTTCTGTTCCTGTTGGCCAGCCACAGATCCAATTGAGTTTCTACTTGTGCCAAATGAAAGTAAATAGCCATACCTTTCGAATGATGGTTGAATAATAACGAGTGATGTTCGCATTGTCGAGAACCAGCCATGTCAACATGCATTGACACGCTGTTTATCAGTTAAAGGCGATTTGCCTCTCGAAAATATCACCTTCCATAGCGCCCACCTTAACCAGTGAGTCCGTTTTCTCGTTACCCAGAATAGGGCAATGAGAAGGGACCGAAACTAAAGTGATAGCGTGGGATAGTGTAGGACATCGATACAAACTGAGTCAAAAGCCCCCTTAATGTCCAAAAATAATGAGCCCATTTGCTGTTTCCAAGCATAGGCCAGTTGAATTCCAGTTGAAAGCAACGCAGGCAGTCATTCGTTCCCTTGCCCCTTAAAAATCCAAATTTCGTATCTGAGAGTAAAGGCCCAAGTGCAAAGCGGAAAAGCCCGATCTGAGTAAGCCTACTTGTCGGATTGAAAACTAGTTTGAATCAAATCGACTTTGGTTAGGCATCTTGATGTCATTTATGCCAAATGTCAAACTTTCCGTTCCACTTCTGCCCACATTGCGTTTGGGCCTTAAACCATTCGACTCGACCCGCTTGTCCAGATGAAAAAGAGCCATTTAAGAGTACGAGTTATGATCGGACGCGGGCCTACCGGGTTTTTGAATGGAAATAACTCTCACTTACCGCCATTCTTTAAAGTTACGCTTGAGAAAAGAAAACATATCCATGGGTAGTAGTCAACATATGAGCAAAATTTTAATGGAAAGGTTCGAGTCAAAACTGACTTTTTTGCGTTTGGGCTGGAAGCGCTCACTATTGAAACGTGTTTTTTTTTTCAACCATTTCATTGGATATTTTTTAAATATTTATACATCACTAGAAAGAGAAAGAGTTACCCTTGAAATGCAATAAGTGAGTGAAATTTTATTTTTTATTCGCTTGCAAAAATACCACTCCTTTTTCGGTGATTTAACGCGACTGCTCTTGGGTTAAGAACGATCGACGAAAAAATCGACAGTAGATAAATATTATTTCTTTATGCATACCGAATAAAAAAGTAAAGTAAACCGCGAAACTTCAATTAAAAAAACAAACATATTTATTATAAATTTCGTTCATCCAAGGCCGGTGACGAGCCAAAAAATTTACGACCATTCATGTCGAACCGTGAGTAAGCGTCTACATTTAGACAGGCCACCTCGCAGAATGGTCGCGGTCGCGGAAGCGTCGTTAAATATGTCGGACTCGAATCCGATTTTCTCGTCATGAAAAAATCGCAAACACGGACGCCATGCGTAGAAAGGAAGAACAACCGACCACCCACGCGAGTCATCGATCGACAGAGATGATTAATTGCTCTCACAGCTCTAGCTATACAGCCAACGGTTTACCTTGCGACCCCACAAGTCACCCAAAGGAAAATGGAGGCGCTTGGTGGTTTACTTTCTTACGCCTTTCGCAGGTTCATTCGCGATTACGTTGAAACGTAGAAGAACATCTCAAAATCAAGGTGTGCGAAGGTTACGTTACGGCACACCTCCCACCACCATCCAAGTCGGCTGCGTTGATCAGCAGAAGCTAAAACGTGCTCGCATTTGGCGTATCAAGCCAAAATAAATCACGGTAGCCGTGTGTTCGTGCTATTGTTGTTGTATTGGGGGGCACATTTTACTCACGCGGTGAAGGCCTGCTGAGATGAATAATGCTTGATTTAAATTAGAAGGGTGATTTTCACTGGCGTGGGAGCAATTAACAGTGTATTCGGTGAATGGTTTGTTTTGATTGTCACCTATACAGCCGCCCACGATCGCGGATCATGTATTTGGCTTCGTCATTGCACTGCAACAGAGTTCGCGCAAGAAAGGGGGAAGCAGACAAAGAATTTCCCTCCTATCACTCACAGGTGCATATTAATAGAGCCGAAGGGGCGATAAACAAATGATACGATGATATAATTGTACTACTATTTTCGGAAGCATCATAGCAGTGGACATTGTACTGCGAAATGATTTGTTGACACTATACAATTCACCGAATGCAACACTTTTCATAATTTAAATCGCTTTTCAAAATGTCGGCGCCACATTCGCCTTGAGGTTTTTCTACTATTTCTGGGACCTAAACAGGGTCAAGAACGCAGAGAAATATTTATGAACGCTTGGGTGCAACTATGACATTTTAGTTTTATTTTGTTTATGCATCGCAATGTAAGCCGCCCATCCGTCCGCTAGCGCCTTGCATTGCGTCAATAAACAACCATTCCCATTCAGACATTTTCGAGTTTCTTTCGACGAAACCGTTCCGGCGGTCGTGTGCAAATATTCAAAAATATCTTCGCTGAAATAATAATAATAATAATTTCATATGCGCCGCCATGATCGCTGCTGCGATGGCGGAATAGGTGCAGTCAGAAAAAAAAAATCATCCCCATCCCCGATATGCCAGACATGAATCAAATAACGCAACAAAATCAAAATACAAACAAAGTCAGTTATTGGCAATGTTCAAAAAAATACAGAATGACGCATGATTGACCCCGCATAGCAGGCTATGCAGCTACTTTTTCATGAATATGGCAGTCATCGGAAAACGGAAGGAAATGTTTGTGTTTCCTGTTCACGTATACAATGATGGCACCGCAGTTGTTTCAAAATTATCTTCAGTTTCCTTCACGTGACGTCATGCATGAACTATTGGCCACCTGCACTGGCTCACACAGTAGGCGGCTTCACAGAATGTTTTTTTTTTTGTGGCAGTGATGACAGATCGCATAGGTTGATTAATGAAGCGTTCACTGCAAAGACGCATTACATTGTAGGTCCGTAGTTTATCCTTATAAAGATCTACAGCTACACCCACAACATCCAACTGGACATTGGATTGAAGGTCATCTCGGAACGTCAAGCCATAAAATTCTACTTTCACAAATTCCAACACTGTCTCCACACACGACCATCTGCCGATTCGCTCCAAGTCGAACACCGACAAACTCGATATTAATAGAACATTGAGAAAACATTTCATCCACGATCTCGAATCAACAGGATGATTAACTGGTGGCAGTGAGCAGTGGGAAACAAGCGGTTTATGGTGGAAAAGTGTTGAGTTCATCCTACTCCCGCGATCCTGTAGCCTGTATAGTACATCTCAGTGTTGGCCATGCTCCAAGTCCGAAGCATGAGAAGCGTGCGTTGGTTCATCAACACCGAACACACACAAACAAGCACACGATCCGGTGAACTCCCTGCTGCGCCAGAGGTATATCGTTGGCCGCGAGTTGGCCAACAGCTCAGAACAACTTCGAACGGCATCCGAGTCAGGTCCCCGGAACAGAAAACAGAAGAGAACCCGTGGTGTGCCAAAAAAGTGTGAACTCAACCGACAGTTCGCCTTTCCCGAGCTTCTAGAGTTAGTCGAAGTGAGAACGTGCGACCGAGCAGTTGAACAGTAGTGCGTCCTCGAGTAACTCCAGTGAAGAAAAGCCCGAAAATGGTCTACGACAGCGACTTCTACACTACCCGCCGGGTCGGTTCGTCCTATACCCGCCCAACGATTTCGTCGTACACAGTGACGGTGAGCGACATTTTGCACCAATTTCACCTATTTTTCCTTCCCCACTGTCCCCCATGACCTGAATGTGTCCTGAAGCGAAAAGCAAAAGTGATCCAAGTAGACCTGTCCTTTCAATGTCCTTCTGTGTTTCCAAGCAACAGCTCAAAAGAAGAACCCTTCAGTGCCGTGGAGAACTAGATCCCGGGGAGTAAAAAATCGGTACCAGTTGTTGAAAGCATTATCTTTGAAAATGGAAAATTTTATTCGCTCGAATTTTCATGTGCGTGCCAGGGAAACCAAAAAAAAAACAGTCGGACTGTGAGCTATAATGAAGATTATACTGTGCCACGCCTAGTGGATGGGAACATTAAGCGCCGGGCCAAAAATAAAATTTCTTTGCTGAAAAGTTCGAGAAAATGATGAAGACCGGTGGTGGGATTACATGTGACTGAGTTCGCGCAAAACCGGGGGAGTAATGGACTCTGGGACACTCTTCTGGGGAGCGAGAGAAAAAGGCGCAGATATTGATTTTTTTTTGGTTTGGGGGGGATTTCAAAGCGAAATTGCGAAAGTCGTCGTTGAAAGATTTGATAATTTTGGTGTGACATAATTGGTGGATGGATGATGAGCGGTTTAATGAGTTGGAGTGCGTGCGAACACTGCGGCGGCCGAGTAAGATTAATGCGTTTCGATGAACGTGCCATTTCGCCTGCTTGGATTAGAGAACACGAGTGACAGAATACGGTTTGGAATGATTGATGAAGAAGATGTCTTTAAGCTGAATCGCCTGAATTAACTAATTATGCAAGATTAGGAGAAAAAGTGTATCGAGATGGGTTTTGTAGTTCGGTTTTCTGAGAATGCAATTTCGTGTAAAAGCAGCTGAAATTGGTGGAGGACATTCTGATCCATGTTGTCTAATCTAACACCAGCCCGTTTTTGAAAGCATCATGGAAAATGATGGATATACCTCCATTAGTTTTCTTGTATATTTGATATATGTTTCACATTGAAGATGCATCACACATACTAAAACGACCAGCTCTGCTGTGCGGCATTTAAGGGGCAAGATGATGCAGAAAACATGGGCATGAAACGTGGACATCTCGTCGTTCCGTGCTTGGTTTCAAAGGTTAAGTGATGCTCCATTTTTCTCTGACGGTTGGGACATGAGCACTAACTCTTGTCCTAGCTTTTCATGGCTTATGGTTATGGCTCCATGTTGTCAAGGAAAACGGATAATACTTGTAAAACGAAGCAATCGTTTTAGTGATGAAAATGTATTGGTCGTATGGAAATTAATGGCACGATAAGATCAGAAATCCCACGACTGGGTATAGTTTATCAAGAATCGGCCAATACCGTTGCAACGCAGAATATGGGTATTGGGGAATTTTCGCTTCACAGTGCTCAAACGAGTTCAAATCGAGTCGTGATTAGCCTCTCTAAATTTGAACTGATTTGGTAAGAAACTGACTTGGCACAAACCATGTGAAATTTTAGGAAATTCTTCTAGCATATTTCTATATTGCGCTGTTATAAGTTCTGTAGGAATTCTTATGGGTCTGTAAGCGAATACTTAGAGAATGCTGAGGATTCCATCAGGATTTTGAGGAAAAAGAATTCCAAGTTCGGATTACAATTCTAAGGGAATTTTGAGGAGAACTTTAAGCGGATTGGGAGGAGAACTTCAAGGGATTGCTTAGGCGCATTTAATGGTAGTTCAGAGTAGAATTGCATGGTAATTCTAAGGAAAACTTGATAGGAGTACTGATGATAATCACAAACGAATTCTAAGGAAATTCCTAGGGAATTCGGAATACAGTTCCAAGGAAACTTCAAAGAGTATTCCAAAGTATTTTCGATAAGAGTTTCATGAAAGTTCTGACCATCCATAAAGGACGTAGCATATTTTAAACTAAACTCCACCCTCAAAAGCTGACTAGAATTCCAAGGGAGTTTTGAGGTGAATCCGAAGAGAATTAAACTTAAAGTAGAATCTAAGGATTACTGCCAAGGTAGATCTGAGAAGAATTGCAAGGCAACTCTGAGAACTTTCTGATTCCAGGTGAATCCAAAGAATTCCAAATCAATTCCGAAGATAATTCCAAGGGAGAATTATGAAAAGAGCTTCAAGTGAAGTCTAAGAATTACTTCCAAGGTAGAGCTGAGACGAATTACTCGGTGATTCCCGTTGAATCCAAGAGTTTCCGGGAGCATTCTAAGGATTTTGTGAAGAAAGCTTCAAATGAATGATGATAAGAATTTTATGGTTGTTCCAATATAATTTTGAAACTCTTCTGTAAGTTTTAGTTTATTAGATAACCTAGCGGATGTGTACTTAAGAGGGTTTGATTCCAAAAGGTTTTGAATGGAAATGACAATGATGATGGCAACAACATTATGAAGAGAATTCAAACGAATTTTTGAGGATAGCTATTATGAAAAGGAGGAAAATTCCAAGATAATATGAGAATAGTTTCAGGGGCATTCAAAGGGGAAACCCAAGGGTGTTCAAAGATAATTTCACACATAACTGGGAATGCTGTAGACTACTCCAAATGGGTTATGAGGAGAACTACTGGAGCGAATTTTAAGTCGAATTAGAAAACGGGAGTGTTGCTAGTCTTCTTGATATGTTGTCTTGCATTTCAAAGTAATCTTGAGGTGAAATCGATGTCAATTCTGACAATGATTGCAAATCAATTCTAAGGAGTGTTCCTAGAGAATTCTGAATAAAGTTTCTTGAAGAATTCCATGGGAACATTTCAAGGATTTCGGGACAGAATTCAAATAGAATTAGGAGGATAATTCAATAGCGGTTGTTGGAGATTACTTTCTGAAGTTAATTCATTCCAAGGAGAATTGCTGATAAAATTATAAGAGATTATGGAGAGAATTCCTTAATTGTTATCGGAAAAACTATAAGAAAATATCCGGAAGATTCCCAAAATAAACTTTGAGGAAATTCTGAATAAAGTTTCATGGAAACTCCAAGGTAATTCCAAGAATAATTCTAAGGAAATATTCCAAGGATTCCAGAGCAGAATTCAAAGAGAATTTGGAGGATAATTCCATAGTAGTTTTTTTGAGATAACCGAGGAGATTACTTTCTGAGGTTAATTCATTCCAAGGAGAATTGCAGATTCATTTCTAAGAGATTATGGTTAGAATCACCAGGGAGATTCCCCAAATGAACTTTGAGGACATTCAGAATAAAATTTCCAAGTTAAATCCAAGAAGAATTCTAAGGGAATTTTTCAAGGATTTCGTAGCAGAATTCGGAGGATAATTCCATAGCAGTTTTTACTTGCTGAGGTAAATTTATTCCAAGGAGAATTGCAGATTCAATTCTAAGAGATTATGGAGAGAATTCCTTAATTGTTATCGAAAAAAAAACTATAAGGAAATACCAGGGAGAATCCCAAACTGAACTTTAAGGAAATTCTGGATTAATCAGGAGAAGAGTTCCAATGGAATAATTTAGATTTCAATGTGATTTCAAGGAGAAATCGATCAAATTCTGAGAATAATTCCAAAGCAATTTCAAGAAGTGTTCATAGAGATTTATGAATAAAATTTTAACAAAATACCGTAGAGAATTATAATGTTATTCCAAGAAAAATTCCAAGGCAACATTTCATGGATTTCGGAGCAGAAGTCAAAGAGAATTCGGATGATAATTCCATAGGAGTTTTTTGAGATTACTTGCTGGGATTAATTTATTCAAAGAAGAATTGCAGATTCAATTCTAAAAGATTATGAAGAAAATTCCTTAATTGTTATCGGAAAAACTATAACGAAATACCAGGAAGATTCCCAAAATGAACTTTGAAGATATTCTGGAGAAATCATGAGAAGAATTAAGTAGATTCAAACATATACAAATTGGAGATATTTTTAAGATTCTGAGACTTTTTATTTTAGTTTTTGAGTTTTACAAACGATTTCAAGATCCGGAACTAAGAAGCATCTCCAAGATTCTGGAACTCATTCGACACTGCAAATTAAAATAATCTTGGACACAAACTAATTTTTAAAATTCTAGAACATTGATTTTTGAGTTCTAAGTTGGAACAATTTTCGATGTCCCGAAAATCACAGACCGGAAGATTGATGCATTCTGGGGCTAGGGAATGTTCGTCTCATTCGATTTTTTGCCGCCTCTATTTCAAAATTTTACTTCACCTTTGTGCAAAGTGCCATATTGCAAAAGATGGCTCTATTTCAGAGGCAGTGAAAACGAAATTGAATTTTTCCTCTTGATTTGTTTTGCGTCGATCTTATCCGTGCTGAGCACAAATGCTACCGACGCCAGGAAGGCAGCTCCCAAACCTGGACCCTACCTATTGACCCATCAACTCATGAACCGGAGACCAACGGTTTTACTTCCCTTTCAAAGGAAGGCGTGATCAGAGATGTTATGCCTCAGAACATACCGGCGGCGCCGACTGGGATTGAACCCAGCCCTGCTGGAGTGAGATATAATCACGCTTACCACTACACCAACGGCGCCGCTGAAATTGACATTTGAAATGTCAAACAACTATGCAAAGTTTCATACACATCGAAGAAGGGTATTCAAAGATTCAATCTTTACTTTTCGAATTCGACTCAATTTCGCAAAAAGCGAATTTGCTAACGAACTAAGTTACATTTTCCGAGCTTTGTCGCTAAAAGCTGATCGAATACGAGAAAAATCGAGGCAAATTTCCCTCGGCCTACAAGTATAATCAGCAACAAATTTAAAAAATTTCCAACTGATCCAGTGCAACTGTGTGTATTGTTTTGATGATGACAACCAACAAACTGTGCTATTTCCAATTCCCAACCAATAGTAATAATGCTTCCAACAACTACTGCCGATTCCCCGTAAATAAGGAGAAGGTTAAAGTACCAAACAAGTAAACTACCTTGAGCTTTGAAACCCCTCCATCTCCACAGCACAAAAACTCTAAATACCTAACCTAAAACCTTCTTCCCCACTTTTCCTGATTTCCTTTAAAAAAATGCTGATCAAA